GGTTTCATAGTCCTTGACAAGGAGATCTTTGTGTGGTACTTCACGGATAACTTTGGTTTCATAATCGTTACCGAGAATTTCTTTGTCTTCGTGTAAGAGTTTGGTTTCATGGAATGTGCCTGGAACGATTTTTTCGACATGTGTATATGAATCTTCAACTGGGGTAATTGTTTTAATGATAGTTTCAACTGGGTGAATTGTTTTAATTATAGTTTCAGTTGGTTTGATTTCTTCATGAAGAAGACCGGTAGTTTTACCATATGAATCAACTGATGATTCTGTCTAAAAGAATAAAAAAAAGATATTTTATATTTAATTTATAAAATGAAATAATATTTACTTTGAATGTTTTTGTTTTATCTAATGAAATATGTTTGATTGGTAAAACTTTGATTTCTCCTGATTCTACTACTTCTGGTTCGGCATAATTACGAGCTTCTCGTTCGAACCATTCTGGTGCAGCACGAGCTTCTCGTTCGAACCATTCTGGTGAAGCACGAGCTTCTCGGGCGAACCATTCTGGTGAAGCACGAGCTTCTCGTTCGAACCATTCTGGTGAACCACGAATTACACGGTCAGCGAATTCAGTGCTTGATTCTAATGTTGAGAATGAATCATGTCCAAATTCACGAGCTTCATGTGATAAAGATTCAGTTGTGTATAATCCATGTTCAAATTCACCAACATGATGTGGTACACGTTCAGTTGTGAATTTCATGTCTTTGTCGTGTTCGAATGATCGGGTTTCATCTGAGACAGCATCGAAAGTTGCTGTTGGGAATGTAACATCTTCGAATCCCATGTTTCGGATTTTGTGCATTTCTGTTGTAAGTTCAACTGATGGTAATGTAATATCTTCAAACATACGTCTCATTGGTTTTACTGTAAAATGTTCAGTTGTATTTTCTTCACTTTTGTCATCTTCCATTTCTCGCATTGTGTGCATTTCTGTTGTCATATCGAATGGTGAGGATGTGAAATCTTCAAAGTTATGTTCCATTTTTGATTCTTCATTTCGTTTAACGACGCCTTCAGTTGTACCTTCTTCACTTTCACTTTCTTCACGTACATGTTTTTCACCCATCATATTTGCGAAAGTTGTATGTTCGGAGAACTTGAAATAAATAAAAACAATTTAAAAAATAAATAGATACAAATAAGAATGTAAATATATCTTACCATATCTGTTGTATGATGTTGTTTAAGCATTGGTTTTTCAGTTGTAAATTGAACTGGTACTGCATAACAGTATGTAGCTAATAATAAGACGAAGAGTGAAATTACTGAAGTAATTGAAGCCATTATTGAAATATGTTTAGCAATGATTATTAGAAAAAGTAAGCTTTTCTTGTGAAGATTCAATAGAATTATCACTGCTTATATAGGATAAATTAAACAAAAGAAGATGATAGAAAGAGAGATGATCTCGTTCTAAACAAAGATATTAACAAAGAATAAATCATACCTAGATATAACTATTCACTGACAATATGTTATGTAAGATTAAACGACGATCTTGTACTTCTATCCAGGTTATTTCTTCCAGGCTATAATATGTTTCAAAGAAAGATTATCTATAGATAGAATAGACGAGAAAGTACGAAAGAAATCACTTCATTGTATACTATATGATCATCGGACGAGAAAAAAAAATAAATCAATCAAAATAATCTTCTAGAATTTTAAAATAAAATGTTCTTGTTTGAACTAGATCATATGATACAGATCTTTTCAACTAGGAATTAATTTAATCGAATTTTGTTTTTGTTATAGAATAAAATCAAGAAGGATGTCCGTATAGAATTTCTATTATGAATGATTTTCAAATACGAGATGGAGCCACATTTAGATTTTTATATGAAAAAAAATCGATGTACATTTATATAGAATGATAAAACTAATTAGAATCGAAAAAATATCAAATAAGAAATTTTCTTTTCAGTTTAACAAGATTAATATTTTCCTAGTCAGTCGGTTGCTCGACAACATATTCAAGTACAAAAAGAACAATGGCGTTTTTATGTGTTTATTTAAAAATATTGCCAGAATCTCTCTTATTGAAAATAAGTGTGTGTATAGTGTTTTGATTGATTGCCTCTTGACAGATCAATTTGTTTTTATCATGAGCCATTTAGATTCAAGGTACTAGTTTTTTTTTCATTTTTTATAATAAATAATATGAAAATAATTTCATCTAGAATTGTGGCTAATTATAATCCTCTTATTGATCCCCATTTGAAATCATATTTCAGTAAAGAACGTATTCAATCTCATTTAAAACATGCTGGATTAGTAAAAAAAACCGAAATATAAAAATATCAAAAATTTATTTTTATGAAAAAAATAATTTAGGTTAATCGTCGAGGTGAAATTCTATCGGATAGTGAATATCGTTTAAAATTAGCTCGACAAGAACAGAAAAAACATGTTCGACAAATGCTTGCTGAAAATATTGTTTATCGGTAAGAATGAAAAAAAAAACAGAAAATTTTATTTTCATAGTTATATAAAATATTAGAGCAATTGATATGGAACGATCACGACAAGCTGAATTAAGACGTCAAATAGATATAGCAACTAAAACAGCTTTAGTTAATAGTGTAAAAGTAATAATTTTAAAAAAACATTTGTTTTTATTCACTGAAAAATAATTCTAAAGGGATCAAGAAAACGTACTGATGGATCTTCATCTATAAATATGTCAAAATCTGATGATATGGATTTGAAAGTAAAGGATTCGTCATGGTCACAAAATCGAAGGAAAAGTACAAGTCTACCTCGAGATACTCAATTCGTAAATAATATAATAATTAAAAAAAAACGTTTTTTTTAATTTTAATTTAAATATAAATAGATGAATGAAGAATTTGATGGACAATCTCGAATTCTTCGTGTTCAATCAGCGAATGTTCGTAATGATTTACATCGAAAACAACAGTCTTCAAAAACTTCAACTTTTCATTATCGTCCACTTAATCGACCAAAATCCGTAGTAAAACTTATTGATTTAAAAATAAAAAAAAGAATATTTATTTTTATTTTTTTATTAAAGCAAAATCATCGATCATTAATAAAATCATCTGATTCTTCCGCAGCAAATTCTCCATGTCGAATAACAATGATATATTATGGCCCAAATACAAAACTTGAATATGATCATTCATTATTCGAATCAACTGATGAAATTATGGTTATGCAACAACATTGTGGTGGAGAAAATTTAATTGTTTATAAAGCTAATCTTAAACCTGGAGGTTCGATAAATCTTTTCATTTATTTTGTATCTTTTCTTAAAAATGAATATATATGTATAGATGAATTTATATTTAATTCTCGTCGCCATTCGGATTATCCATTAGGTTTATCATTATATGTTAAAGGTTTAATTGATAGTCGTATTTCAACATGTTGTGAATATAAACATCGTCATGGTGTTCGATTAGGTGGTGAACGTGGACATTTTGCTATTGTATCTGTTGAAGGATCAAAACCTTGCCTTAAGTAAAATTTTATTAACAGAATAAATAAATGTGAAATTTTAACTTTCATTTTAGATGTCGTTTTGAAAAACAAACACGAGCAAAAGAAAATTTAAATTCATCAAAAGATTTCAATGAAACAGAAGATGAAGATAAAAAACCAGTAACAATTTCGATTCCAGTTTCACAACAATTAAAAAGAAAACAAAAATCTATTCAAATACCTGTTAGACATACACCAGACTCAGGTAGATGATTTTATAAAACAAAAACAAAAATAGCGAACTGGATTTTTTATTTAGACGAAAACTATTCAGATGATTTTGATGAACCGGATAAACGACATGCATCCAAGTCAAATGAAAATACTATCAAAACTCAACAATCAGCATCAAAAGTAAGAATTATTGAAAGACTAGTACTGAATAAAACGCCTAAGATTCTTTTAATAATTTAATTGAAGAATAGTAACCTTAAAAACAAGAAAGAATATATATTTATTTTTCATTTCTAAGTCTTTATTAAATTATACAAAAAAAATTATTCATTTTTTTTTTGAGAAATTCTATAATTTAAAATATTCTCTATACAATATTGTTCAATAATGATACGAATTTCGACAGAATCATTATGTGATTACATATGTATAAAAATAGCTCCTGGTAACTATACTGAAGTGTTTAGACTATAATATGCTTATTCCGATAATATCAGGTTAATTTGCCACATGCATTTTACACTAATCTTGTGTTATTACAGTTGGCGAAAAGATAGTAAGACGATCGATTGTATTAGATTTTTACTTTCTCTTTTTTCATCATAATTAATTCAATAATTGTTATTTTATATAAAATGTTTTTAGGCTCGTTCTACATCAATTCAACGAAAATCGTCTGTAGAAAGTAATTCAACATCATCATCAACCAAGCCTTGGCAAATTATATTTCATTCATCAAATATTCCAACCGGAAGTTTTCAATTTCCAAAAAATAATTCTATTGATGCTTTTCTTAAATTATCATTGATATCAAAAGATGAAAATGATGAAACTGAACAGTATAAAATCAATATGAGAGATTTTCCTCAATGTTTTAAATCAGGTCGACAAGATTTATTTAAAATAAAATTACGAGATATTGGTAAACCAAAACAAATTCGATTAAAACTTGAAATAACAGATCTGATCAATGATGATATTAAATGGCATCTTGATTATGTAATTATAGAAACAAATTAAACTAAAACGATTTTTTTATTTCTCAAATCTTTCTTCTATTTAGATTGAACTTATTGATTCCGAAAATGAATCTCATTATAAATTTTCTTGTAATCAATGGATTCGTCCATCACAAGAAAAAATTCTCAATCTTATTCAATCATCTGAAAAGAAAAAAAGTTTAACAAACATAAATAATTCTCAAAAAACAAAAATCTCTTCTCATTCATCATCATCATCATCCGATGAATTTTCTAAACAAATTGAATTAAATAAAAAATCTTTACCTAATCAAACACAACAACAATTATCAACTGATGACGATGAAAATTATAAGACTCATTATCGTATTATAATTTATCCGTCAAAAAGTATCGATGGAGAATTTAATGCATTAAATGATAGTCGAATATTTGTACGTTTAAATAATCAAAAAAGAGATTCATTTCTATATCAAGATGATACGAAATCTTGTCCGTCATTTCAAGCAGGTGAAAATCAAACATTTGAATTAAATTTTAATCAAAATATAACTGAACAACCAACAAAATTAACTATTGGATATTATAATTCTGATATAAATGCAAGAAAATGGAAAATTCACAAAGTATTTTTCTTTCTTAAATCTATTTGATAAAATTCTCTTCATAGATAATTAATTATTTCTTTTTTTTAAAGATTGTTTTAATTAATACAGAAACAGGTGAAGAAACAATATTTCCTTGTAAAGAAGCACTTACAAGAAATGATTCGGATTTACGAGCAGAACATACTTATCAAGCGCATGTTAAACAATCGGATGATGATCAAGAAAGTAAGTGTATTTATTTCGAATATAAAGAATCGTAACTAGACTGTATTCTATCGTTCTTTATTACAATGTGAGGAATGAAAGTTAACATACTAATAGAAAAGGGCAAAGTCAAAAGAGAATAAAGAATTAATCAGGCCATAAAAACGAGATACATTTACGATAAAAGGACAAAGTAATAAAGTGATTTTGAAGTGGAAAACAAGAAGAAAAGAAATACTTAAAAATAATATCTAGGTCATTTCTTCTAAGAATAGATAACAGATATTTACATTAATTTAAATTTTTATCTTTATCATGATTTTTACTACTTAATTATATTTTTCTAGGTACATCTCATACTCCTAATATAACCAAACATACATTATCGCGATCTCCAAGTGAACAAAATACTCAAGTTCAATCAAAAACAAATAATCATATTCGATTTTCACCAACTGAATCAGTTGAACAAACAACAATAAAAACAAATGATAATGAGAAATTTTCTCCAATAAATTCACCTAAAGAAACTAATAATGAACATGAATTAGATTCATCATCTCGTCCTAAAACTCGACGTGGTCGTCAAGATACATTTGATAAAGATAATGATCATGAAGATACATTAAATAAACCTCAACCAAATAATGACATATGGAGACCATCAAGTCAACTTGATACTAAAGAATTAATTGATCCTTTAATTGGTTTAGATGATCTTCAAGATCAAACATCGACATCGAAAGATTAATATTCACAAATTAATAATTAAAACAAGGCTTTTTTTTCTTTGCTTCTGTGATACAAATATTTATTTTATTTTAACATATAGACAGTGTACACTTTCTTTTGTTTGTTTGACTTCTTCTTCTTCTTCTTCTTCTTCTTTTTGTTTATTTTACAAAGAAATTAATTATGAAAAAAAAAATAAAAATTAATAAGATTATTTTTATTAATAATCAATTATTCGAATCGAATAAATAATATTCATTCATTTCTATTATTCATGAAAATCAAATCGATCGAGAATTTTTTCTTTAGCATAAATTCTAACATCTCGAGACTCGCTGTGTCTTAGCTATCAGTAAACTATTTATTCAAACACCGACTTCAGATTCGTGAAAGCGAATTATCAATGCTATTTAATTTAGTTTCTTGAAGAAAAAGATGATTTTTTTAACTTATATTTATATCATTTTGTATTTTTTCACCTGGATTAATCCGTTTTTTTTCAACCATACAAAAACATACACAAACATACATATATATATTTATATTACATGTAGAAACGAGTCTAATAAGAATTTTTCTTTCAACCTCGAAGTTGAAATCCAGCTGCTGGAGGTAGTAATTGGTCCATTGAATATGATTCATCATCATCATCACCGCCACCTAATAATTTTTTATACATTTTTCCACCTGATGGTGGTTTTGGTTCATCTTGTGCTGTAGCTGTATTTGAACCAGATATATGTTCAATACCACCAGCAATTCCTCGAGTTGTTTTATCTTTTTCTTCATTTCTTGATGGCCATGTTGGAAACATCGATGGATCTATTCGACGTGGAATTTCTTCAAAATATCCATGTTTTAATGCATTTATTGCTGATATTCTTTTACTTGGATCATATGTTAAAAATCTAAGAAAAAAATTATTTGAATTTTTTTATTAGAGAAAAAAATGAACAGTAACTTACTTATTAAGAAGATCAAAACCTTTCTCTGATAAAGAATCACCACCAAATCTTGTTCGTAAACGATTATATGGATAATGAGAAAACGTCATTTTTTTTGTAAATGGTAGTGAACTATATTCAGGCCAAATTTTGTCAGTTGGTGTACCCAAATCTTTAAATATACGATTTAATTGATCTAATTCTGATTTACCAGGAAATAATGGTTTCATTAATAATAATTCACCAAATATAGCTCCAACACTCCATATATCAATTAATGTAGAATATTCCTAAATGAAAAATAAAAAATTTCATTTAATATTTTAAAATTTTTATTACTTTAATTCCAAGTAATAATTCAGGTGAGCGATACCAAAGAGTAACAACAATAGGTGTATAAGCTTTCAATGGTGAACCATATTCACGTGCAAGACCAAAATCACCAATCTAAAATTATATGAAAAATTAATAAAACAAATAATAAGAAAATTAAAAAAATTTTTACTTTTAAAATTCCTTTATTACTCAGAAGAAGATTTGATGTTTTTAAATCTCTATGTATAATCCAATTATCATGTAAATGATTAACACCAGATAATAATTGATACATTAAAGTTTTTATTTCACCAATTGAAAATGGTTTTTTCATTGTATGTGTCATTAAACTTTTTAAATCATGTTCAACATAATCCATAACAATATATATTCGATTCATATCATCACCAACAACGATTTCCTAAACAAAATTTCAATAATATTGTCTATTATTTCGATTTTTGATTAGTTATATAACTTACTCTAACAGTACAAACATTTTCATGTTGAGATTTGAGAATACAACAAATTTCTCTTAATGATGTTATTGGAAAACCTTCTTTTTCTTTTTCCATTTTTAATCTTTTCAATGCAACAATTTCACCTATATGAAAAATAAATATTTCAAATTTTTGTTTACTTCAAAATTAAATTTTACCTGATTTTCTGTCTTTTGCACGAAAAACAACTCCATAAGTTCCTTCTTCAATTCGATTTAAACATAAATATTCATCAACTCTTCGACAACCTTGAATAGCTGGATAATAACAAGGTAATTTAGGTTTTTCTTCAATTAATTCTTTTTCAACTGGATAATTAATTAATATAGGTGGTGTCATTGCAGATTTTGATGATGATGATGCTGGAGTTGATGATGAATGACGTCTTGATCGTTTATGATGACGACGATGATGATGACGATGGTGTCTACTACTACCATTTTCTTCTTCTTGTTCGTCTTCTATTATATCATCATCATGATCATCAAATCGACTTCTATGTGGTTGAGCAGGAACAGGTTCTTCTTCACCTTCTTGTCTTTCATCATCATCTGGAAAATGATCATCTAAAATAAAAATCAATTGAAAAACAAATTTTTTTTCTTTCTTTGTCTATATATTACCAGCAGATGAATTTGTTCGTTGTTCTTTTTGATCTTCAGTTGTTGTCACAGATTGGTGTTCTTCTTTTGAATGATGATCATCACTTGCATCAGATACTGATTCTAATAATAAGAATTAAAAGAAAAATAATGATTTAAATAAGAAATAATTTACCAGCTTCTTCTCCTTCTTCCGAAGGTGAACGTTGTTCTTTTGATGAATTTCTTCGTCGATTTTTGTGTCGTTTATTTTTTATTGAACCATCTTCATCAGAATTATCATCCGATATAGATGATTGACTTGATGAATGATGACGACGTTTTGATCGATCTTCACTTGTACCTTTAGAAAGAAAAATTCATTTATTATTATTATATTAATTCAAGAAAAAATACAAAAATATTTACTTCTTCTACGTGATCGTTTATGATATTCATCCGATAAATATTGAATTTCTCCTTCTTCATCATCTTCATCATCCTCAACAATTTCTGAATGATATAAATCACTATTAATTGCGCGTGATTGTTTTCCACTTCCAACAGTTAATGGTTTTGGTTGTGAAGGTTTAGTTGTTGTCGATGTATTATAAAATGATGAAGGTGGATTTACTTGACGAACCGAAGATTTTAAAGTTTTATTTGATGTTGATGATGGTTCTTCATAGATAACTGTACGTGATGCAATTTGAGAACGATTTCTATCATCATCTGTTCGACGAGAATGCGATGAACTTTTATAATCACGATGTTCTATTTAATATACAAAAAAATAAATAGAAGAAATTTTCATTGGAAATAAATTAACTTACTATTACTCATTTTTGATAAAAATAAAAAATCTAAAAGAAATTATAGAAAAGAAATTAGATTGAAATATAAAGTAAGTATTGCTTAACTTCATAGAGTAGAACATATTCTTCCCTTTCTTGTGTAATCCCATTTTCATTGGTTATTAATTTAACCAATCAGATCATAAATATAATATTATTTTAAATGAAATTCTTTTTGAATTAATATTAGAAAAAGAAATAATTTTTTTATAAAAATAAATCATAAAATATTAAAATTTTTATTTGAAATAATACAAAGTGCATAAGTATTTTATCCTGAAGAATTTATTTTCTGTTTTTTTAAATATGTATATATGGTGGTCGTTTGTTTATTTGTTTACTTGCTCAATGATTGACTAGTTCAGTAATCATTCTAATGTATTTTGATATTTAGATGGTATGAAGTCTGATTACGAACGTTTAATATCGTTCAATAGAAATAGTTTAAATGTTCGTATTAATTATTTAAAATCAACAAGCAGATGATTATCATTGTTATTCAATCTTTAAATTACTAGTCAATTTATTCTTGATATTCGAATATTTAATAATAATAAAAAGAAAAACAACAAAAATCTTTCAAGATGATGTGCTGTTTGTCTGCAGAAGCACGTGAACAAAAACAAATTAATCGAGAAATTGAAAAACAATTACGTCTTGATAAGAAAAATCAACGACGAGAATTGAAATTACTTTTACTTGGTAAATTTTCAGTTATTTTTAATGTTTAGTTTTTACAATGTCTTTTGTTTTTATTTTCGAATAGGTACTGGAGAATCTGGTAAATCAACATTTATTAAACAAATGCGTATTATTCATGGTACTGGTTATTCCGAAGAAGATAAACGTTCATTTGTTAAACTTGTTTATCAAAATATATTCATGGCAATGAATTCTATGATTCGTGCTATGGAGACGCTCAAAATACAGTACAGAGATAAACGAAACGAGGTTTGCTTTTATTTGATAATGTGAATGATTCATTTAATTGATTATTATATTTTCAGCAAGATTATGTTCCACTTGTACGATCGGTGGATTTTGAAACTGTGACAACATTTGAACCACAATATGTAGAAGCCATTAAAAGTCTTTGGAGTGATCCCGGAATAAAAGAGTGCTATGATAGACGAAGAGAATATCAATTAACAGATTCAGCTAAATAGTAAAATTCAATACATTTTTTTTGAATTCGAAAAAAATAAAACCTTATTTTTATTTATTATCTTTAGCTATTTGGATAGTATTGATCGAATTGATACTCCGTCTTATTTGCCAACTGAACAAGATGTCCTACGTGTTCGAGTCCCTACTACTGGAATTATTGAATATCCATTCGATCTTGAAAATATTATATTTCGGTAAGAAAAAATGAAAAAAAAAAAAGTTTCTTTAATAAATAATTTAAATAGAATGGTTGATGTTGGTGGACAAAGATCTGAACGTCGAAAGTGGATTCATTGCTTTGAAAATGTCACTTCGATAATGTTTCTTGCAGCATTAAGTGAATATGATCTAGTTCTTGTAGAATCTGACAATGAAGTATTTATTATAAAATAATAAATTTCAATTATTATTTATTTCAATTTTTTAAAATTTAGAATCGAATGGAAGAGAGCAAAGCATTGTTCCGTACGATCATAACTTATCCATGGTTTACGAATTCATCTGTGATCCTTTTCTTGAATAAAAAAGATTTACTTGAAGAAAAAATAATGCATTCGCATTTGGTTGATTATTTTCCTGAATTTGATGGTTTGTAAAATTCATTTTTTTTTTTTATTTTTCATTCATTTTTGTTTTTGTTAAGGTCCTAAACGTGATGCCCAATCTGCACGCGAATTTATTCTTAAAATGTATGTTGATCTCAATCCAGATAGTGATAAGATTATCTATTCACATTTTACCTGTGCAACTGGTAAATATAAATACTTTTTTATTTTTATTCATTGAACAAATATAAACTTTCGATTTTCAGATACTGAGAATATCCGATTTGTATTTGCTGCTGTTAAAGACACAATTCTTCAACTAAATCTGAAAGAGTACAATCTGGTTTAGAAATATAAATAATAATAATAATAAAGAAATATCTACTAGACAGACATATGGCTCTCTTTTGTCTAATTATCTTTTCGTTTATTAATACTTATTCTCTTTATTCAAACACTCTACTTTTATTATATTAGAATGGTCATTTTCTTTTCTCTCTCTCTCTCTTTCTTTCTTTTTTTTTCATTTTACGTGTGTTTTCTCGTACAGTGTGCGTGTTCAAAGTCAAATTCGAGTTGTTTCCTCTAGTTCAATTTTCTCTCGTTTTATTTCTTGTTCTTTTGTGTATCTCTGAACACGCTTTAACAGAGAAAACACTTATTAACAACAGTGACACACACACACACACGTTTTTCTTCTGTTTGTCATATATACATACCTCGTATCTGTTTTGTACTTGCGCACTGCGCGTATAACTGCTGCTGAGCTCTAGTCTCTCTCTCTCTCTTTCGTTCTTCTTTTTTTCTTTTGATTTGTATGTTGTTATTTGTTGTTGTCGTTGATTATTGTGTCTTAATTCTATCGTTTCTCTACGCATTGTTCAATTCTTGGAATGACAACAATACTCGTTGGTGGCGTCCATCATGCAATATCCACATTTATTTAAGTGTCTAGTATTCGATCTGACTTTATTTCTGTCTATCGCTTTTAGCATTCTTTTCTTTTTTATATTATCTTTCTTTTTTTTTCCGTGTGTGCGTGTGTGTCTGAACTACAATAATCGTTGCGTTGCAGTGTCGCCGCTTCTTTCTCTCAATCTCTTTTTTTTTTCATACTCTACTATTACAAGAAGGTTCTCTCTTTCTCTTTTTCTCTGGTTTTTCAATTGTATAAAATAAATAAACGAATAATGAATAAAAAAAACACGGTCTCTCTCTCTCTATCTTGTTTTATTTAATTAAATTTATCTAAATATATTTCAGATTTTTTCGTTTTATTCAAATTAACAATTCTTTGAATGTAAGTTATTTCATTTATATATATATAAATCAAAATAAATCATATTTTTCATTTTTAGATACAAAAAATGGCTGATCAAGATACAACTGGTGGTCCAAGTGCACTTGAATTGAAAAAAAAACGTACATTTCGTAAATTTACATTTCGTGGTGTCGATCTTGATCAACTATTGGATTTAAATACCGAACAACTTATGCCATTATTACATTGTCGTGCCCGTCGCCGTTTATCACGTGGTCTTAAACGTAAACCAATGGCTTTAATCAAACGTTTACGTAAAGCTAAAAAAGAAACACCTGAATTAGAAAAACCACAAGCTATTAAAACACATTTACGTGACATGATTATTGTACCTGAAATGGTCGGTTGTGTTGTTGGTGTTCATCAAGGAAAAACATTTAATTCAGTTGAAATTAAACCTGAAATGATTGGACATTATTTGGGAGAATTCTCAATTACATACAAACCAGTTAAACATGGTCGACCTGGTATTGGTGCAACACATTCATCACGTTTTATTCCACTCAAATAGAGTAGGAAGAAAAATAAAACCATATTTTTCATCTTATTGTTTTACTTTTTTCATCTTGTAACAACATATCAAATTTAAGATGAATAAAATATAGAAGAAATTCACCGTTAAAAAATATATTTTTCGATTTTTACAAATTGAATTCAATGAAGAGAATTTTTGTTAAATATTTTACTAAGCTAAATATCTTTCTATAAAATGAATTGATCTAAAAAAAAATATTTATTTTGTATTTGGCGCTGTTCAATAAAATGTCCCCTATAATAATTCGTATATTATCATTGATCTTTCTAATATTTTTTGCTTATCCATTAACAATATATCTTCATCCATGGTGGATATTAATGCAACCATTAGGTGCCTATGATCTTTTTTCTAATATGATTAACGAATTAACAACTATAATGCATTTACCTAGAAATCTTTCGTTATCGATACAAACTGGTGAATGGTGGTGGCATTTATAATTAAAATTAAAGAAAAAAAAAAAGAAAAAAGAAAGAAAAATATGAATTAAATAACAAAACAAAGAAGAAGAAGAAGAAGAAAATTTGTTTTTATTTTGTATTTTAATTTAAGTTGGTGTATCATTATCATCATGAATAGATTTTTGTTTTGATGAATTTTTTGAAGGATGATGATCACGAATAGTTGTTTGTCTTGTTGATGATAAATTTGTTTGTCTTAATAATTTATATTTTGAAAAAGTAAATAATTGTATTAATTCATTTCGAAAAACTCCACCAGTTAATGTATAGATATAAAAATGAATTGCATGATTTAATTGTCCCATAGCAATAAATATAGCTGTCATTAATGCTTGCGCACCTTGTGTTTGAGAAAAATCTGATGGACGGAAAGCACGTACTGTATCATTTATTTCTGTTGGTAATGTAAATACTAAAAATGCTAAAAGTAGAACAAAAAAAATATATATATATAAGGTCTATTTAGTTTTGTTTTAATCAATTGGTAAAAAAAAACGTACCAGCTGCACTTCCAAGTAACATAACAGTTAATTGTCTTTCTTTTTCATGTCTTTTACGTGATTTTTTTGATTGTGATGTTGTTGTAACAACAGTTGTTACTGAACGTCTCGAAGTTATAACACGTATAAGAATAATAATATTACATATTAACATAACAATAAATGGAATAACAACAGCAAATAGCATATCTAAGGAGTCAAATATGGCATAAAAACGATCATATGTCATTGAATGAGGTTCATTATAATAAACAATTTTTGTTTTTGATGGTAAACAAATCTTTTGTGTTAGTTCATCAACTATTTCAAAACCCCAAAATATATGACCATTTATAAGTAGAAACACAATTGACATTATAAGAATTATATAAACAGCAATACGTGCTTGACAAAATTGTTGAGATTTAACTGGACATTGAATTGATACAGCTCGATCAATTGATGCAACAGCTAATAAAAAATTGGATAAATCTGTTGTAAAATAAACCATTAGTGGATTTAATTTACATATAAATATTGATTTTATTGTTAATGATACATTATTATATGATGGTAGGACGGTATCAATAAATGAAGAACATAATGAAGCAATATCAGTTATAGCTAATGCAAGAAAATATATAGCACATGAACGACGTCGTAATGATGGTCGACTAAATACTAATACACTAAGTAAATTTCCAATCACCCCGATTATAAATATTGTTAAACATATATATTTATATACAATTGTTTCAGTTAAATGTCTATATGGATCATATGATACTGTTGTTATTGTATTATTTTGTATAATGACTGATGATGATGAAAGATTATAAACTAATATATCTGAATGTGGTAAATGTAAGTTATTGATATTAGATATTGTTTCTTCAAATAATGATGAATAAAATTGCATCATGATGAAAACTAAATAAAGAAGAAAAAAAGAAACTAATAATTCTTATCTTCTATATCTATTTAGATATAGGTCCTTTTTTTAATATTCTTATTCAGGTCATATTCAATTAAATTTTTCTTTGAAAAAAATCTCATATTATATTATAATATATCATTAAAATAACACTAAAAATAGAAATTACCTTTTTTCAAATATCAAAAAAAAAATATTTTAATTTAATATGCTTGAAAAAATTTATTTCTTTACTAAAAAAATGTACTCTTTCTTATTTTATTCACATACGCACTATTTTTATTAATATTGGTAATTATAATAAGTACTTAACGTATTCATAAGAAAATAATATTTTCATTTAAGAAAAATTGTTATAAACTCTTATCATAGAATGAATTAGTTTAGATATAATTATTGGATAAAAAAAAGATTGAGAAATTCTCTAAAGAATAGAGAATATTATTTGATTCCATTGTCGAATGTCAATATAGGAATAAATTTTATGTTTTTAATAAAATTAATGAGAAAGGAAAACGTGTCATTTGAAAAAAAGAAGAAGAAGAATGATTTTCATATGAAGAATGAACGTGTTGTTTCACTATTATGTATAATACTTTTCTAACAGTAATAGATTTGACAGTTTAACACATACTTATAGAATTGTCTTTTATCGATTCTACTATAGTTCGTAATTGAACACTTAAGATGAAGAATGACGATGAACAATCAAAGAAGTGACACAAAATAAAGGATGAGAATGTCAGAAGTTTAAACTGCTTTTAGCTACAAGAATACATCAAAGAAAAGAAAAAGGATATTAGAACTTATTTCTTGCACAAAAATTAATCTACTAGTTTTATATTTATGTTTTCTTAATTATATTAAACATACTGTATATGACCTTATCAAAAAAAATCTAGCAAAAGGAAAACTATCTAT